TGGCACTCAGGATGTTCAAAGGGCACACAAAGTATGTATCCCACACACCACTGATTAATTAGGTTTTAGTTTGCGCCTAGCCTAAAGGCTGAGTGTCTTTCCTATGGTTTTTTTTGTCTGGTGCTCTCATCATTTCAAAATAATTGAAGGAGTACACAATGCCTCATTATTCATCATTATTTGCCTTGGAGTATACTGGTGGAAACGATGCATTGGATATAGCTATAAAATGTGACAAAACAAAAGGAGCAAACATGTTTTCTAAGCATACTTGCTTGTAGTGTTTCAGCAGCATACTTTCTGCTGCATATTACAATTTAAGTTCTCACATTTTCAAATTGTGGAACCAGTCCCTGCCAGTTTAAAAGATCTACAGACTGCATATGCTTGTATCAGCATGCACATCATTGTTTTTATGATATTGCATTAAAAAATATATACATTTCAGACCAGTCCGCCACCATTCAAAGCTGCTGCACTTTTCAGGGGCACAGGAGACTTTTATGTTGTAAAGAGAAATTGTTGAATGATGATATCTTGAGTGATCCATCGACTGAAATTCATGATGAGCTCAAGAGTTCTGACAACGTGCAAACTGTCTTACTGACTATAAACATCTCGTCATGAAAGAGAACTGATGTGAATTTTTGTCTTGTACTTTATTTCTGCTCAGGGCTGTACATGTAACTGACTTCACCTCAGACAGTTACCAGATCCTCACGGGGTCGGACGACTACACCTGTCGACTTTGGGACATCCCAAATGCCACGGAGCTCAGCACCTACCAAGAACACACAGATTATATCCGCTGTGGCGTCACGAGCAAACTCAACACAAATCTCTTCATTACTGGTGAGATGGAAGCCGAGATTTTTTTTGAATATGGTGTGAGGAAATTAAGGACATACAATTTTTGGTTCGTTTGCATCAATGGTCGGTGCCTTCCAGAATTATTTATATAGTTTGACAATTTTGTAGCCAGTAGACTTTTTGAATGGAACCACACAATGGCTTTGAGATTAAAGCAACGCAACAGGCATAGCCAGAATCTACCAATGTGTTATTTTCTTCCGTTTTTGTTTTCTACAGGATTTTAAAAATTCTTAATATAAACAAATATGAAAAGGAAGTAACTTGTATAACTAAACTAGCTGAATAATTAATATGAAACTCAGTAGTAACTGCAGAAAATCTGAGTAATCACACTCCAAATGCTGCTGACAGAGGACCGCTGTGCATGGAAGGATGAGGACCAGGATGAAGGATGACTTCCATCTGTTTTTCTGTGACTAATATGTTGTATGTTGTGACTAATTTGTTTTTAATCCTAGGATCATATGACCACTCACTGAAAGTGTTTGATGCCAGAGTGGATAAAAGTGTGATGACCATGGACCATGGCCAGCCAGTGGAGAGTCTGCTTCTCTATCCTTCTGAGGGGCTCCTAGTCTCTGCAGGTAATCAGCAGTATAATCATCACATTCTGTCAGCGCATCCAGAAAATGTGCTATGTAACTTGTTGTCATACCATAGACAAAATACATTATATTTACTGATGCTCAGCCAGGACATTAGAAAACTTTTAGACCGAATTCTCTCTGTCACTCTCTTTAGGGGGCCGCTATGTTAAAGTGTGGGATCTGCTAAAAGGAGGCCAGCCTCTGGTGTCCCTGAGGAACCATCACAAAACTGTCACCTGTTTGTCTCTCAGTAGCAATGGACAGAGACTACTGTCAGGTTCTCTGGACAGGTATGGGACAGGTGCATGCACAGTTGCGTCTCTGACATGGCAGACGAAGGACAAAATGTTTGAAATTGTGAAAATCACAGAGGCCACTTTTGTATGAATCTGATTTAATGCAGTGCTTGTATTTGTCTTTCAGGCATGTAAAGGTGTACAACACAACCAGCTATAAAGTGGTCCACAACTTTGACTACGCTGCCTCCATTCTCAGTCTGGCTTTGGCTGTAAGAAATTACATTCAACCCTTTTTTATCTTTTTTTTTTTATTATTATGAGGTTTCATGTTTGAAGATGAATTAAATGTAGAAGGGTTCATTCAAGTAAGTGAAACAAAATGTTTTATAATTTCACACTAGTTAATTATAGTCACCCAACATGTGAAACTCCTTATTTGGCTGACTGGTCTATAAATGTGCAAAAAAACAAAAAAAACATTTGCACAAATTCGTACAAATACAGAGAGATGAAAAGTGATGGATTCTGTTTCTGCAGCAGCCAACAGAAATATCCCTAACCCTACTGCCAGAGATTTAAATTGAATGGAGAAGAAACAGTACATCCTCTCCTCACGGCGTTGGCATGAGGGTTTAGGGTCTCCAGAACACAATGTGCAACTTCAGATAGTGAACTGACAAGGCTTTCGGATTTCTCCTTTCAATCACCACCACCATCTTTGATTTTGTAGAAAAATGCACTTTAAAAAGAAGTGCCCTCCCAGGTATATTGATGGTAGTATACCATATTGTTACATCAGTCATAGCACAGCATGAAATGGATTTTGTCAGACCCGCTTGCTGCTCCTCAAAGAGATGTGTGAAAAAAGAGTTTGAATTCTTGACAGTAAAACTATGAATATGTCTTTCTCCTCAGCCGGATGATGAGTCTATTGTCGTTGGTATGACCAACGGTATTCTGAGTATAAAACACAGGAAAAGCCCCGAGGAGTCAACGGAAATCTCTGGCCAACAGAGGCGAAGACCATCATATCGTGTTTTTGTGAAGGGGAAGAACTACATCCCTAAACAAGTATGTTTACATTTAGCAATGTAGCTGTGGTTAATGGTGTGAGACATGATGTCAGGTCTGTTGGTTCTCCTTAGTTTTCCCCTAGTGATGCATTGACTGAATGCTACAAAGGACAAGGTCAAACTGTCTCACAGTGGCTAATGTCTTTATTTCTATGTAAAGCTTATGTAACTGTTTTCTTTCTGACTATTGTCAATGTATTTCTTGGTTCTACATCTTTTTCCAGGATGATTATCTCGTCAGTAAGCCGGTGAGACAGCATTTGGCCAAATATGACAAGCAGTTGAAGAAATTTAATGTATCTAAGGCTTTGGATACAGCTCTGGAGGTATGCATTTCATGTATTTATAACATTAACAAAAAGGTTAAATCAGTTGGTATCATTTTTTTTTTTTTTTACATTTAAAGTTCAATTTGCAATATAAAGCAGTTATGTGCTACTTTCCTGTGGCTGTCCTGGATATTAGAATCTGAACAACATTCCTCACACACAAACATATGTGTCAGCAGAGGTAATAAAATATATTTGATTTTATCTATAGTCATGGACAAGACACAGAAAACCCGAGATCACAGTTGCTGTTATAAAGGAGCTGAATCGAAGAGGAACGCTGAAGAATGCTCTGGCAGGAAGGGATGAACAGGGGCTCGCTCAGTTGCTCAACTTCCTCATAGGGTAAGACGCAGATAAAACTTCATTACTCAAGGCTTTATCAAGTGTTGACACAGTGTGTTATTGGGTACACTGAAGTTTGTAGTTTGCAATTGTAGATAAAGTTCTGCAGAAATGTTTTGACATGCGTACGCTAAAACTTTTTCTGTTTCTTCTCCAGGAACTTGGTTGACCACAGGTTTGCTCCGGTCCTTGTAACAGCGGCTGAGATGATCCTGGACATCTATCGGTCAGTAATCGGCCAGTCACCAGTTGTGGATCGACAGTTGCTCCGTCTGCAGGAGCTGCTGGAGAAAGAGATCGACTACCAGCAGGAACTCCTGGAGGTGCTGGGCATGTTGGACACCATGTTTGCCTCCGCCCTCCCTAGGAAGGAAGTGCCATGCTCTGCTATCAGCAGATCAAATGGCCTGACTCAGGGAGAAGCAAGACCACAACTTCAGGCCACCTGAGGCTTGTAATGGGGGGGAAAAACTGCTTTAGCCTGGGTTAGAGTACCTGTACAACTCTGAAACCTCTTTTTGAAACATCAGACACAAATTTCCTGACATGTCAGGCTACATGTCATCAAACAAACATTTTGGCACAGGTTTTAAGAGACTGACCAATCTGTGGTCTCACTCTGGTGTTTTAACTCGGCGTGACTGACAACCAAGCAACAGACAGCAAAGATAACATACATTTAGTGTATGAGGAGTCTTTAAATGTGTGGATGTAAAGCAAGATGTTGCTTTTATCGGAAGTCTTGTAATTACACTTTCAATTGTAAGTGTGTGTGTGTGTATGTGTGTGTGCGTGCGTGTGTGTGTGTGTGTTTGGAAGATTTCACTGTGAATGTCTGCTTTATGTTTTCATAATATTTGCCATTGACAAATGTTTTATAAGCAGATAAAATAAATCTTTGTAATATTGAAATGGATCATAATTGTGGTCAAAGTGTGAAAAATTGGCTCAGCTCACTGTGATGATACTGATTTCAACAGAAACACATATTCAATCCCTCTACTTAGTATTTATAAAATATTGAATTATAAGCATTGAATTATAACATTGTATTTATAAGTTAACATAAGGGCAGTGTTGAGTGTTATGTTATGCACAATATCCGTCAACAGTTCCATGAAGACATTATTATGATGGTGTTTGAACTCATTATCTCTTCATACACAAATACACTAATAACTACTTATATCTGCTTACAGCTACGTCATACTCTTATAAACGTATAAACCATTTATTTTTGAAGTGTTTATATTGCATAACTGCTAAATAGGAAGATTTGAAGTGCGACCATTTCAACGTGAAGGGATCATAACTCTGGCCTCCTCGCTGTTTTATCGCCCTCCATTAGAGGTCGCTGTAACCTCAAACAAACAGTTAACTTTCGCATATAAGGAGGAATTTCCATTTGAGCAGCAGACGGAAGACTGACAGAAGGAGTCGACGCGGACAGAGGGGAAGGATGCTGTGTCAGTGGAGGGAGGCTGCAGGTCAGACTGGAAGCTGCAGCGGCACCGACCGAACCCATTTCTCAACCTGTAGCTTCAACACCCACACCTGAGTTAGCGGTTAGCAGCAGGAGGATGAGTCTGAGCTGAGGTGCTCTTGTGTTTTGCTGAATTAAAGCGCGCTGCCAGGTTTCCTCCGCTGGAGTTTCAGCTCCTGTGAAGGTAAGCACATCAACCATATTTCACCATTTTTTCTACTTTGTTCAACCTGTCTGTTTCCTATGATGTTATTGACAGTATGTCAACACTCGGGATGGTGAATTATAACCCTATAAAGAGAGCCTCCTTTTTCTGCGGCTAAATAGGTCAACATTAAACTATGAGTTAAATTCATTTAAATAATGTTAAAACGCACATAAACGTGTCCAGAGCTAGACTGCTCAGTTTGTGGTGTTTAATAATAAATATCCAGTGTAATTCCAGTAATATCCATGCTGTAATGAGCAGTTTTGCTGTGTCATAAAGCTAGCACACTTCCAAAAAAGTCCTTCCCTCTTTGTTTGTTTATGCCTTACCCTCAGTGTAATATTTGGTCTAATATGATTAGAAATATGTACTTATAAAGGTAACTGCAAAATATAATGTAATTTCATAGAGAACAACTGCCTGAAAAATGGTTGCTGTGTTAAGACCTTGCTGTTGTGTCCAGTTTACGAAGTGGCCACTGATAAGGAACAGATCTGAACCCTGCAGCACTGAAATCAATTGATCTCCTACTTTAGCAGAAACACACACACGCACACATGTGAGAGTACACTACATATCGTCTGCATATCAGATCTGGGCACATTTGATTTTATGGTACCGTCTCTATGCACCGAGGAATAAAGTTTCATCATTAAAATCATTATTCACATACTTGGGATCAAAGGATTATCCTGTCTCATCGGAGGACCTTTGACTCTGCTTGGCACAGATAAGGTTTGATCATCTCTTTAGGATCAGACGAGCACGCAGAATAACCAAACTAACCGAAGAAGTAATGAGCAGTTGCGTGACTACAGTGGCAAGAAAAAGTAAGTGAGTCCTTTGGAGCTATCTGCATTTATGTATAAATTTGTCTTAAAATGTGCTCAGATCTTCTTCTAAGTTACAATTATAAACAAACAATACACTTTAACAAAAAATTGTTTTTTATTCTTGTCCATATGAAACATTCAAAACAATCCCAGTGCAGGCTGGAAAAAGTATGTGAACCCCCGAGGCAAATAACATCAACAAAAGCTAATTGGAGTCGAGAGTTATCAAACCTGGAGTCCAATCAATGAAACAAGATTAGAGGTGTAAGTTAAAGCTACTTTGAGTTGTTAAAAAATACTTAAACAAGCTGAGTTTACTATTCACAAGGATTATCTGCTGATGTGAGCCATGCCTCGCAAAAAAGGGATCTCGGAAGACTTATGATCAAGATATGTTGATTTCCATAAGGTTGAAAGAGTTACAAACTCATCAGTCCACAGTCAGACAAACTGGTGCATGATTACATGGAGCATGGTGTCCATGGAGGAAGCTTCTGCTCTCCGAAAAGAACATCACATGCACGCCTGAAGTTTGCCAAAGAGCAGCGTAACACTACTGGGAAAGTGTTTTATGGAGTGATGAAACTAAGGATGAATTATTTGGGGATGTAGCGCAGTGTGTGGTGTAAAAACAACACTGCACACCAACATGAAAACATCATCCCAGTGGTGAAGTGCGGTGGAGGGAGCATCATGATTTGGGGCTGCTGGGCCTAGACAGCTCGTCATCATTGAGGGGAAAGTGAATTCCTAAGCTTAGCACCCAGCACCGTGAATGTGTAGTGTCTGTGTTCATTAAAGACACGAAAAATTGTAACTGTTTGTGTGACATTAGCTTTAGCATGTTTGTGTTTGTAAGTACTTGTTGTTTAGATGAAGATCAGATCACATTTTATGACCAATCAATGCAGAAAACCAGGTCATTCCAAATGGTTCGTTTACTTTTTCTTTCCACTGTACACTGAGTGTGAGTTTTTCTTTTTTCTTTTTTTTTTATGTGTGTGTGTCTCATATATTTCTGTCTAATGTCTTTGCCTGCAGTTGCTGTGCAGATGGAGCTGAGCAGGAGGAAAGTGCCTCTGTATGTGAGTATGTGCTCCAGTATGCAGTCAAGTTTGAGACCAGCTTCTCCATTTAATCTCAAGAGTTAGTTATCCCTCTGCAAAATCTCTGCAAATTGGGTTTGGCATTCATTGAGAGATCAGCAGCCTCTTTTATAAAAACCAAAAGTCTGTGGCAGAGATTTTCTGTCCATCTCAAGGCCAAAATATAACAGCAAATAGCATCTAATATCTGAAGGGATGCAAATATTTTCTCCTCGTGCATCAATATAGTACATGTTTCATCCACTGAGCTTACTGTATGTACAATTGTATAAATGAGACTGTATTAAAGAGTTGACACTGGGGTTGATGAGGGCACCATGATGACGGGAGACTGATGTTTTCCACGCTGATCAAACAGGGATCTTAATTGGTCTTTGTATGGAACACTTCTGGGTTTTGCAGTTGGATTATTTGAGCACTGAATCATAGTTTCTTATGGAAAAAAATAACCTTATCCATCAGCACAACAGTGACAATAGCAGCCTGGCACTTATGTACGTAACTAGCAAATCAGTAACTCTGTGATTCATTCACAGCGATGTTTTTTATTTGTATTTTACTTTAGTCAGAGTTGGAAAGGAACTTGTATTTGCTATCAGTTTGATTTGTGATGTGGCTGGTAACGCTAAGCCTTTGAATGGATCTGTTGTCTGTGAGGTCAAACTGTAGTCAAACAGGGCAGGACTGCAGTCAAACATTTTTCTGTTGGTTTCAGTTTGGGATCTTAACAATGTACTCAAACATTAATATGAACTAATGCTTTTCTGAAGATCAAAGGAGGAACACACTGCCCACTTCGTATTCACTCAATCCTAATTTGACATGTTTTAAAATGCTCTTTTGCTTTTACTCAAGATTACTAAAAGGTTACCAAACTTTTATTGTGGACACACCATCTGGGCCATTTCATGTAATGAAGCACCTGCTGTTCAGATACTGTGCTTGCTTTCTATAGAGGCCCACAAATGAATGAATGAATACATTTATGCAACATTTCAGTTTTAAAAGCAGATGATAGCTTGTAAAACTGGAGAAAATTAACCAGCGTTTGAACAGTCATGTTAGCAAATCTGTGAGGCTCGTAGCAAAATGCTAACACCAGTGTGCTAAAATGGCCACAATCACAATACTAACTGATGTTTAGCAGGTAATGTTCATCATCTTAGCCTGTGAGCATGCTAACATTTGCTAACTGGTACTAAAATGTAATGCACAGCTACGTTTAATGGGAATGTCATTAGTTTTGCTAATGTGTGACATTTAAATAATTTTTGACCTGCTGGTAAGAAATGTTACCAGTTATTTTGATTCATCCTCAATTCATGGATTGAGATATTTCATTCAAAACCGTATATGTCAAACTGCTGCTGACGTTAGAGGAAAATTCAGGGATTCACCAAAATCTTTAGGATACGTTATCTGGGAACCATGAGTGTTTGTGCCAATCAATCTAGCAGATGTTGAGATATTTCACTACTGTAGATCATTGAAAACTCTCACCTGCTGGTGGCTCTGGACATCTATGCCAAAATGCATGGCAATCCGTATAAAAGTTTTTAGATTCAAAGTTTGTTTCTGTCCATTCTTCCTCTGCGTCTGACAGTCCCCACTGTTACGCCCAGTGTTTCGTCTAGAGGCCACAGCGTCATTAGTGGTCAACATCTGCTCAATCACACAGAGGTGAGGAGTCTTACTGAAGGCACAGGAGAAGCTGTGCAGATATTACAGAATTTGTGGTTAACCCGATTTCCTCTCTTAATCAAAGAAGGGAGGGAGAAAGAAATGGATGAGTGAACCTGAAGGAAGGATTAAGTCAGACGGAGAGACATGGAGGCAGGATTACTCACCAGTGTCTCTATCTGAGACAGAGAGAGGAGTAAAGCCCGATAGTGGTATTGTGTGAGAAATCAGGTCAGCTGTTGAGGTGATGCAAGGCTAATAGCTAGACTTTTTTAAGAAACACAGAGAGACTGCTTATAAAAAAGAAATACCGTCACTCTTACACTCTTATACCATCCAACACTAATCCGGGACGTTCATTGCATTTCAAGTCAAGCCTTATAATTTACATTTTTGCTGTACCTTCTTTCACGCAACCTGTCTCCTCCACTTCTTCTTCAGTCAGTCGTTTGATATGTTTCCCAGAATAACCCACACAGTGTGTCTTGTGGCTTCACTGCTATTGAGGACAAACTGATATCTTCTTGGTTCTTGGTGGCTTGACTCTAAAAAGCAGGCTAGTGGCCCGGGATGATGTTTTTATTCTGAGGGACTGAAACTAAAACCTGTGTTGCCAAAGGGGCAAAAACCAATCAATGCTGCTTTTTGATGTTTTTTTTTTTTTTACTTAGATTGAAATCAAAATTGTGTCAATTTAGACAAAGTTCTGTATGATCATATGACTATTTGAGTATGGTATCAAAACTCTGTTACTCTGGTATTAGTCCAGGATCAAAAACCTCAACCAATACCCAGCCCTAGATTGATCACAGAACAACTCAACCTGACGTTCTGAAGTGAGGATTAATAGTCCAGTGAGGCAGACATACACAACATGTTGTCACACCCACTTCTGTCCTACACAAAGTTTTTTAAAGGGTACCAGTCATATCGGTACCCTTAAAGTCACGTCGGTTCTGGTTCATATCGGTGTGACTGTTCTGCCCTATTCCAACTTCTCCTGCCTCAAATCAGGAGTCTAAAGTGTTCTGGCCTGTTGGGATCAGGGCAGGTCTTTGCAATAGACACTGAGACATTCCTGCTTTTATTGAGGGGGAATGTTTTATTGTACCCTCAAGAGGAATGCTCTCAGGGGATTTGGTGTGCTTCACAGAAATGTAGAACACAGCATCAGAATAGAGCCTTACTTTAAAATGAGCCTGTATCTTTAGGAATAGAAATATTTTTTGCTCTCTAGCATCTTTCTTCTTTATTTTCTTCTTCATTTTTTCCTCTCAACCTCTTTCACCTTTCTTTATCTCAGGGCCAGGCCAAGGTATTTGCATTGCTGGAGGGTTTAGACTCGGTGCCAGAGGATGCAGAGGTCTACGTTGTTTTGGAAGGATCCACACTGGTCCATGTCACCAGGGCTCAGAGTGACGTCATGCTCTGCTTTATAGTGCCTGGTATGTGTGTGTGTATGTCTGTATGATGTGTACTGTATTTCTGTGTTATTGAATTATGTGTATGTTGTCATTTCTTTTGTGGTAATTTGCTGTGTTTGACCTTCAAATGGAAGAATCTATCTAGAAGAATATCTTCAGAAGTTAAACTGCACATCCTGACAATCCCAGGTTTTCCACTCCTGTCTGTTGTGGACCGAGGCGCGATATATCACCATTTGAATCTTCACACACACATACACAGTCTGTGGGTTGAGGTCTGGAAGGACACAGAATCTTATCAGCTTCCTGTCAGGAGGGAAACAGCACCATAAACAGTATGTCAACATTACTGAGCCTCTGTGTAGACTGACACAGACAACAGGCAGTCCTGCAGGGTTGTGTGCACAAACCTGATGGACTATTAAAACCAGGTCTCCTTCTCCATCAAAAAAGAAAACATGCTTTTATTGACATACAAAAAGAAAATCTGAGAACATGTTTAATTACACTCAAGCATTTTCTAAGTTACTGAGGCTCTGGGCTGAAATATTTAAAGCATCGTTAAAGTACTCTACCAGTGCTTTTGTATTTTTGGCTTGTTACCTATGCTTGCTCATTTGATACAGACCGCTTATGTTTTTATATAGATGTTAGTTCATTTTGTTACGGTTTGAAACAGACACTTGAAAGTTGTTTGAAATATGTAATCAAATCACTTTGGGCATTTTGTCTGCTGCATTTTTGTTGCATTGTCGCAGACAGAGTTTTATCATAGAGTGGATAATGACTACATGAGTCTCTTATTGTAAAGAGGTATAAATCTGTCTGGAGTAAAGTCTGTCTTTTGCTGTGTTGTCTCTTTAGGACATAACTTGGCTGAGATGGTCTCTGTCCAGGCCTACCTGTGCTCTGAAACCACACCCCTCACCTGGGTGGGTGGGGCTTCACTCGAGTATGTCCAAGATGATGCTCAGGTAGGGAAGCCGTACAAATAAGATCCTATACATTGCACGCAAGGTTGTGTATTCCTCCGTTAAAAGATTTTCTGCTCGTACACAGTGTAGTGTAAAGTGAATCACTTACGTACCTCCAGTAAAATCATCTGTGGTAATTTTGTCATTACTGTTTTTTAGCATTGTTTACCAGTTATCACAGTTTTGCATCTTATTCACGACTGCTCTGTTCTCAGGACCTTGCAGAGCACCTGGTGATCCATGGACATTGTCTGAGCTCCACGGATCACAAGGAGCTGAGAAGCCTCTTCAGCCTGGGCCAGGAGAGTTCTCGCTGGGCTATGGATCGTCGCGTGGCCCTGGCCATGGCGAACCTGGATATCCCGCGAAGCTGGAATGTCCTGGGGAGCCACAGTGGAGACGGTGAGAGCAGGATTATCTTATCCTGCTGAACGGCATTCCTGCACAGATATGTTGATCAAAAGCAATTTGGGTTTTATTACAATTTTATAACAATGTCAATAAAACGTTACAGTGCAAATTGACAGTTGGGAAAGATTTAATAGGTTGAGATTGGTTTAAAAACAGACACAGTTGTGTCTAAAGAGGGACTTATTTTATCATTTACATGTCTGTTCATGAACAAAAATTCTTGAGGGCACTTAGCGAGCAGAGCAGAGGTCTCAGCATCGTGCTGGAAACTTGGAGCCAGTGCTATCCAAGGAGAGTGAACTCCTCAACTCTGCTTCCATCCACTCTCCTTCTACTTTCACCTTCCATCATTCCCATTTTCCATGCTCACCGAGTTGAAATCGGAAGTGAACACGGTCACATGTGTGCTCCTGTCGAATTCATCAAAGCCAATTAAGCAGCGTGTAATGTGGTTAATAGAGCCTTCCCATCTGTAAATATCCCTAGGCAGAGCTCAATAAATCTCAGGACGAGTGTGTGTGTATGCTGCCTGTGTGTGTGTCTGTGTGCGTGTGCGTGTGTGTGTGCTGACCACCGTGTATACTAGATGCCACTGTCTGTTCGTATTATCTGAGTGTTCGTGTGGGGCCACCTACATAAATAACAAACTAGATTTAGTGTTAATATAGTTATGGCAGTCTGTTTCATCGCAGCGTCTCCCACTAAATGTCTGCAGTTAATTCAATAATACTGCTTGTTATGACATCACTGTCGTTGATGCTGTATGCGACTGAATTATCAACCCCCAACTTTCCTCTCATAGTTACCGTTTCTTCACAGTGCATTCTGCGTTTTTAAGCCGCTGGAGAAAACTCATTACTGTCACAAAATCAAGAAACGGCGCCGGAGCTTAGAATTATTGTGTCCTCTGTGGACTGAGAGCAGCTCTGAGAAGTCCAGCATTAAAATTTTCAGCTGGCAAAAGTGTTAACTTGCGAAATCTATCTTTATAGCTTAACAAGACCTGCACACTGCTGGATTTTTGGATACAGAATATCCTTGGACAAAGAGAACTGAAGTCTGTAAAGTAAATCTAGGTTTGCTTTCACCAGTTCTTGTCTGTTTGTTTATTTTAAAGTAACCTCACTTTTGCACCAGTTTGGAACCATGCATTGCTATGTGTGTGATATGTGGGTGAGAAGGGCTTTTATCCTTATGTTTCCTAATACTTTCTGCTGCCCACTATAACACAAAGGTAAACAGGACAAGACACATATTTGTTTAAATAAACAAAAGAAAAGGGCTTTCAGTTTAGTTTATATTTGACAGATCCCACATCAACACCAATATGTAAAATTACATCCTCCACCTTTGTAGTTAAATAACCCACTGCAGTGAATATCAATTGGGAAAAATGATTCATTTTTGTGTGCTGATTGTGTTTGATGGTCGTGTTTTAGGCTTTAGTTTGTGGTGTCACTAAGTAATATCCTTCAGTCAGTGTAGACCGTACGACCAGTGTTTGTTTTCTAATGTAGTTTTCCTGTGATTCATCATGATGTTTGACTCCCTGCCTCCTGCCGCATTTTCGCAGTGTTAGTGAGTGATGTGCAATTGAGTCAGACAGCATCTGTCTGGACTCATTGTACCTCCTGTGTGTGACCTCAGACCTTTCTGAAAGCTGCCACACGCTGCTTATTGTCATTCAAGTCAATGTAACTCCTGCAGTTGCTTTTATAATTTTGAGTTATTGCAGTTGCTGCTGAAACAAAACAAAAAGCAAACGTTATGGGCTTCTTCAAACTGGTAATGACTACAGGGTTTGTTTGTAAAGGCTTGTATGTTGTGTCTGTTATTTTGTCCAGCAGCCTGGGAGTTGCTTTTATGATGATATTATGATTTTACCTTGACCACAGACTGAACTGTGTTGTCCATCTGTATATTTTTTAAAGAACAATGCGAGAAATGGAAGAGATTGGAATATTTTAACATTATTGTGAATTCATGCTGCACCCCTTAAAATAGAACTGTACATTTCCAAGCTTACCAGTTGCTTGACTGTGGCTGATTTCCTGCAGGCCAGTTACCTGGATACAGATCTCGCTGGAGTGCGGTGAGTGGCAGACACAGAAATAAGAAGCTGTCACCACTTTGTTTGAAAGCTTTTATTACCTTAAAGTGGGTCAGTGGAGCAGAGGGATCCAGTGCTGTGCAAGAGGAGAAATCAATCATTGACATCTAGGTTAATTATCATGGAGGTGGTTATCAAGACAAGAATGTTGGCATGTTCGTTTTCCTCCTATTTTTCTCACATCCTGTTTCTCACTTGTTTTTTTCTCTTCTTGCTGTTAATTTCACCTCCCTCCTCTTTTTTTCCATTAGCTCCCTCTGCATTCATTTAATCTGTTCAGAATATCATTTATGTTATTATATTTCTCCCCTCATCTCCAGAGCACAGTCCCAGGGAGTCCCCCCTCCACCTGGCCGTGCGTTGGGGTCTGTGTCGGCTCGCGGAGCTGTTGCTGTGCCAGCCGGGGGGTCTGATGGCTGTCAGTCTGCCAAACGAAGAGGGAGTCACGCCGATGCAGCTGGCACAGGCAGCGGGCAACACCGAACTCCTGGAGCTGCTCACACAGTAAGCTCATAAGCTCCAGCAGGGCACTTCAGGGAGAGACACTGACAAATGAATCACTGTTCTCCTGTAATAGTATGCGGTCTGTGCAGAGCTTTCCCACTCACAACAGCAAGGGAAAGCATTCCAAATGTAGAAACAATTTGGTTTTAAGTCAGCAATTACCCCAGATAATCTGCATTCTTTAGATTCTCACATACTGTAAGTATACTGGTTCGAAGTACAGTTTACGAACACATAAAATGCTAAACACCTGTTACCTGTCAAACTGAGGAATGTTTTGTGCTCCATCAGTTGGGCTCAATGTGGATCCATAAATCTTTAGCACAGCTTTATAGGTCTATTTACATGTCCTGAAAAACCAGGAGACCATCACGTGCACTGAGTGACAGGACTTTTAGAAATGAGTTGTGTATTCTAATCATTCTCAAAAACAGTATTTTTATGTGATTCGTGATTAAACAAATCCACCTGTTGTGCTGCAGTCCACCCAACCCTCTAGCTACACCTCCAGCAGGTCTGTCCCAGGTGTGGGCAGACCGGTCCAGATTGCTGAGGTTCTGTCATGACACGGGGAACCTGACTCTGACCATCCGGCAAAACCTGAGGTGGAGCTCGGAGGAAAGCCGGCATGCAGACATCCTGCTTCTCAGAGACCGGCTCAGAGATGAGGACTTCCTCAGAGAGGTGAGCGGGCCAGTGTTGCCTGATGCTTGTAAAGAGTTCTTTACATCAGTAATATCTATAAACTCAAGATTGACACGAAACAACATTAATGATTATGATCAAGCATTAGAATGAACCTGTTATTAATATGGACTAAAAATCACTAATTGGGTCTTTCTAAGGGAACCTCATGCATTAACAGAGACAGTTTTTTGCTGCAACTGATTTGCCTGAAAGTGCTGTTAAAATAAAGCCGGATGGGATTGTGTAATTAAGTGAGCTTTGAGTCAAAATCGGTCTATCTGCGGTTTGTATATGTTATTTTAATGTATATCTTCATTTAAAGCATTGTCTGTTCTCCATCAGGTGAAAGCACTAAGGAGGGAACGGGTGGAGACCCTCTTAGGGAAGGAAGAACTAGTGGATGATCCTGCAGAGAACGGTATCATACCCTCCCTAATCTGCTTGCTTTTTGGGATTTGGGAGGCTTGGTTAAACTAAGCCATCCAATCTAAGCTCTTCTCTTTTATGTTGCAATGGGCTGCAAGGAGGTTATGTTTTCACCCATGTCTTTTTATTTGTTACGCAGAAAATACTGGACCAATTTGTACTGAACTTTGCGGAGGGATGATCCAGGGAAGAACCTGTTAAAATTTGGGGCAGATCCAGATCATTTGCTATAAATTTTAATTATTTTCTCAGAAGTGTGGTGTATGTTGTTTGTCATTAGCCTTGGCTGAGGTCTCCGCTCTCTGAGTGCCCCTCTAGTGCGTTTGTTCTAGTGTTTAATGAGGCTAGATGCTATCAGGCTACAAGACTGATAGGACTGTACTGCCCTCCTCTGGGGGTTTCGGGGTGCTGCAAGTCTGTGAAAACATCCAGAGAACAAACAACCTGTACGTTAAAGTAATGCTGACAGATTAGTTTATTAATAGATGATGAATGATTAGTTGATTGTGCTTTATGATTGTCATTTATTAAGCAATAACTCAACAAACATTTTCCTCTTTACATATATATATTTTTTTAATAATCTCTCTTAGTTTAGCATGTTAGCATGCTAAGATCTGCTAATTAGCACTAAATACAAAGCTCAGCTGAGGCTGATGAAAGGGAATGTCATGTGTTTTGCAGGTATTTAGGTGAACCATAAACCAAAGAATCAGACAAATATATATTTTCACCTGATGATGGAGCTACAAGATAAGTCCGGAGATCACAAGAGTCATATGTATTATACAGAAGGAGGCATTAGGACACATTGTCTGGTGATCATGAATATCTGAACCACAGTTTGTGCCAATCCATCAAGTAGCTGTAGATGATATTTCACTGGACAAGAGAAAACGTTGACCTGCTGGTGGTGCTAGAGGAAAAGTCAGGGGATCAACAAAGTCATTAGGATTCAGCCTCTGGGCATCACAGTGTTTGTAAAAATAATTCACAGCAGTCCAGTGAATAGTTGTTAGGATGTTCAGTCAGAACTAAAGTGGTGGACCAACCAACAAACAGACCAAGTGTCATGCTGTTAGCAAGGCTAAAAATACACAGTGTGTCCCCTCTCCCTCTCTGTCTTTCTAGTTCTCTCCCCCTATCTATAGAGCAACATTTGAGGCAGCTGGCATCATTATATCGGTCCTCACTGAATGTGTTTTATGCCATCATGCTGAGGCACAGAAAGACCTCGGTCAGATTAGGGTTGTTGCTTCTTATAACATTAAATCTTTTCCCAGCCTTTGCTTTCATTTTATATTCTTCCTGTCATAATTTCTTGTCTCTGATTTTCTCTCCGAACCTATATATCCTTTATGGGTTGCCACTACTTAGCTCTCCTACATTTCCTGCCTTTATATTTTTATGTGACCCCATGCCGCACATCAAACCACCCGTACACTAATTTCTGTATGTCGCAGTTTTGTTTCTGGTAAGGGATCGTAGACTGTGTCCTTTGATCTGGGATGCACATGGTAGTTAAATGAAAACAAAGGAGATCAAGGCCACACGGTAAAGATCCCCCCAGGTTATGAAAAGGAAACAAAACTAAGACTTGACATGGTATTGTTAAAAACTGACAAACATCTGTGCTTACTTGAGTGTCGTTTGAAGTTTAATGGTTGCTGTATGGCTGCGTCTGAATATGTTTTCTCCTCTTTCAGCTCTGTATCCTGATATCAATGGAGGAAACTCTGCTGTAGAAGAAAATGTGCGTATTTGATGCATCTCAACATAAAGAAGATACATGCAGAGCTATAGACTGAAATATGTACCAGAATATATTGCACTATTTGTAATTTCCCTACAACTTGTGCTTAAACAACTTTACCTGAACCAAAACCTTCCAGAAGAATTATGTGCCTTTGTCTATTTTTGCAACAACAGGTGCAAAATCCTCTAATTTCAAATTTTAAAACTCTCAAAGCTCCATTCAATCTCCATGAACATCTGCATTCGCCAGTGGCAACCTGTGGTCGTGGCTTGAGAACAAGGCACTGACTGATCAATGCTCCACATTGTTTCACTCTCATTGTTAAGGTGTTGGAATTGGCACCTTGCACGCGCCACTGAATAGCTGACTTTGTGCGCGGTCAAGTGTGCATTTCATGTTTTGAGACGTGTGGCATGTGCACATGATTCTGGTTAACCAATAGGACCTGTTTTATGTGATACAGATGGTTACCTAATTAATCTTTCTCAGTGACACACCTAGGCACTCGCCAAACACTTGCCTTTCTGTACTTAGTTCTGCTCTTGCTTTTGTTCCCTTTTCTTCACTCAGGACTATGAGGAGCCACTAATGTTTTGCCTGAATGAGGAGGACGAAGAAGACGATCCATCGCAGTCTGTCTCTGGTAAAGATTTTATTTTTTAAAGTTCCTTTCTAAGCAAGGTTCCTTTTTCTCAGAAGCCTGTTTATAG